GTTACTAATTCAAACTTCCAATCATAAAATATATATCTATTTACAAATCTGTTAACAAATTTAATTCTTTTAAAAAAGCAATAATTAAATGAAGACTTATATTAGTAAAAATACCCTTCATAGTTCGGGATTTGAAATAGATATCCCTTGTGATGGAGTACTCAACACAGTCAAGCAAGACATGCTTGACCGTGATTCGTTCATCACAAGGGATACAAAACGGAGGATCCTCACCTTTTAATAGGTACTCATGCGTATATCTTGTGTGGCCAATACGACATCGTCGTATGATGACCTCTTCAAATCTGGACTGACAACCCAAGTAAGTGTAACCGATATAGGGTTTTATTTCATGTAATTTATTGATACCTACTTGGGTGTCCCACTTCTTTTGCATCAGATCACGGATATAAGATCTTATAGCAGCTTTGTAATCAGAGTATGGGATCAGAAGTGGTGTCACAGATTTGTTAAGTGCTGCCTTAGCAGCAAGATCAGCAATTGTGTTACCAGAAATGCCAACGTGGCTGGGTAACCAACAAAAGACGATGTCGCATTGGCCAGTAGCAAGCTCATTATACAATTCAATAATTTCTAATAAAAGTGGATGTTTACAAGAAAGATTTTTAATAGCCTGAAGACAAGAAAGAGAATCAGAAAAGATGATGTACCGTCTATATTTACGGTGTTGATTAATATATGTAAGAGCTGTCAATATGGCGTTAGCTTCTGCTGTGAAAATAGAGCTATTATTTGGTAGTCGAGAAGGTATTGTTCTGGATCCAATGACAGTGGCACAAGCCACCGCGCCACCATCCTTGGATCCATATGTAAATAAGGATATATGTGTGTGTGTGTGTGTGTGTGTGTGTGTGTGTGTGTGTGTGTTTGTGTGTGTGTGTGTGTGTGTGTGTGTGTGTGTGTGTGTGTGTGTGTGTGTGTGTGATGTTAACTTGCATACATCATGTTAAGTTGCAAACTTCCTTTTTGAATCTGCGTTAATTGGAGGGTTTCTATTGTAGACAGGAATTGTGATCGGTGCGTTCTCCAGGAAAAAACCCACTTGATTTAACGCATCACATAGCCTTTATACACGTACATATGGAATTGGACACTACACACACTTACGCACTACGCATCACGCAATTACGTAGATAATACGTACACATGGAAACCTAGCTTAAGTCATTTAACTTTTAGTTACTTGCGCACAAAAAACTGATTATATGTGATTATTTTGTTTCAGTCGTGACAAAATGACCAGATAAAAGCTTTCAAAATCCCCGAATGATTTACAAAATGGTTTTTCCACCAAAGGATTTACTCAAATTTCCAACCCTAGTAAACTTTGAACAACTTCGAAAATTTCAGCACCTATTACCTTTGAATGGAATTATTGGAAATACTCAGTGATCAAGTGTCTTCTGAGGTATCAACGTTGAATTCATGCTTGGAAATGTCTGCAATCCGGTCATAGCATACATGAAAAAGCTGCTTGTGCATACGTCAACATATGATCAGCATATGTTTCAAAGGAGCAGCTTCATATGAAATAAGAGCCAAAAGTTAAGAACTATGTGGAAACATACGCAAATCCGGTCATAGCATGTATTTCCTACTGTATTCACGTTCATTTCTCTGGCGTACAATCCAGCTTTTGGTCCAGTGTATATTTCCGCTCACCCAAATTTAACTTTGTAAATACTTCTGAATGAAACCAAACAATATTTTACCATTAAGACCATCGGAGCTAAAATTAGCCATTACTTAATGCTATTTACTAAATTAAAAGATTTCTTAAGATCCACAAAAGCATAAAGTTTGCATTTCCACTTGCTTTCAGGACACATTGTATGTAAATATGTTAATTCATCAAGTGTTAGGTTCAGTAGTTGAATAACCCTATCTGAAGTCGTCTTGTGTTTGGTGTGTGGATATTTTTCTGCATTTATATTTCAGTATGCTAATGTATTGTATTCTGTGTGTAAAATAGAACGAATTATATGCCAGTTGTGACAAGTATTGTTACAGAGAAAGATGGGATAGCTCTAATCTCGTATGAAAAACAATAGAAGGGTTATCCGCTTCGCCAATCACCGCTTACCGAATGGAGGCGACCAATGGGATCGGGTGGTCAGACACGCTGACTTATATTTAGTTGACACATGTCATCGTACCCCAATTGATTGATGCTCATGATGTTGACCACTGGATTGTCTGGTCCAGATTCGATTATTTACAGACCGCCGCCATATAGTTGGAATATTGCGTTAAACAACAAACCAACCAAACAAGGTTACCGAAGGGCCATCTGAACCTTCACGACCCGTGAAGTTCCCAGTTAGAACAACCCATGCTTGTCTCACCCCGTGAAGTAGAATTGGGCTTCAGCAACCCATGCTTGGTGAAAGAGGCGACTAAGGGTATCGGGTGGCCATGTTCACTGAGATGGTTGATGCAAGTCAACGTATCCCAGTTGCGTGTATCGATCTTCATGACGTCAATCATGGGGTTGTCTGACCCAGATTCGATTATTTACAGACTGTCGCCACACAATTAGAATATTGCTAAGTGTTAAACAACAAACAACTATTGTTCTTCTAAGTGTAGATATATTTGCCTGATAATCGTCCAAAGGAACAGTAGGACTTGCCGTAATTTTGTTTGAAAACTTTATTCACAAAAGAAATTGCAAAGGAAACATGTGCCTTCTTGTACAAAACACTGTTCTTGAGGTAAGAGGAAATCCCCAATAGTTGTTACCTTCCGGTTCAAATTTAGAAGAATTGCTTTACGAATCTGCACCCGTTTTAATACGAATTCACCGTAAACTATGTCTACGAACTCACGCCTCCCTCAGTGCAAATATTTTATTGTCCACATGCATTATGACACCCCCGGTGCAAATATGAACAATCTCAATGTGCATTATGACACTCTCAGTACAAACATTAAAATCTCCATGTGCATTATGACACCCTCAGAGCAAATATTAACAATCTCCATGTGCATTAGGACACTCTCAGTGCAAATGTTAAAGCTTAGATGCAACCAACAAAATAAACATAATTAAAACACAATTATCACTTATTCGTGACACATAACATACAATTGCTTATTATGAAAAACAAATAAACAAAATTATAAGCGTACAATCGCAAATCAAAAGTGCAATATTTTGTACTTGGGTTTACTACCCTCGAAACGAAGCACCCGGGATACCGAACCCAGTCAGAGAGGGTGGGCGTGCACTTAAGTGTAACGAAGCCTTTCATCGGCTGGTTGGTTTGCCGATACGCTCAGGGCTCTTTGTGTGTGTATGAGAATTTGGGTTTTCTAAATACTTGCTCATTTTTGTGTATAACATTTTGCAATCAACAGACATCATAACATGTTATGTGTAAAAGTATCACACCTGCTGTCTGTGAAATTACATAATGTGACGGAGACCGAACTCAGGTGTTCGAACCATAAATCAATGCGTTTTGTTTATGGTCTATACCCTGCTAGGTGTTGAGTTCAAATTGCATGTGGTCAATGATTGAAATTGTGTATTGCATATTGGCATAAGCAGACAGGCAGACAGACACATAGGTGTCAATAAAACAGACATTGAGTTTTGTCTGTGACAGAGGCATATCTATATCACAGTTAGAAATTCTGACAATGCTAAATAATGACGTTGCTGTGAAGTATCGAACTGAGAAAGTGACTCGGTAAAAAGAACGTGTGGTGAAATAGTCAAATGTAATTATATAAACAGTTAAATCGGTAATCTACTGGCATAACATATAAAAAGCTCGCGCCTGTGAAATATCAACAAAACATTAGAAAAATAGCTCACATCAATGCTTACTCGAAGTACTCACCGCTAGCGCACGATTTCCGTCTTGAAATGTCGAACGCTTCACTGGTTGACACGTAGCTGAGTAGATCTAAATCCTTAACGAGTAGATTATTTACTATTTGTTGTTTGTGTACACAACCAAGATTAGACTCCTGCTCACGACCTTATAATCCGGGCATCATGGTTCAAGCAGCGCAAACCTATTCACTGCGCATGCGATATGTTCGCAGCGCAGCACAGCTGTGGAAACGACTTTTCACCCCAGGTGAGTTTTTTTAGTGAATCGTTTGAACTCAGATTTCTCGGGATTTTTTTCATTGCGTTATTTTTCAGCTTTATAAGTTGACTTTGCATTTTTGATTATTAGTTACTGTAAGTCCATACTGAAAGGTATCAGAATCTCAGTGCAAACATTAACGCTCTCCATGTGCAGTATGTCACTCTCAGTATAAATATTAACAATCTCCGCGTCAATTATGACACTCTCAGTGCAAATATTAACAATCTCCATGTGCTGTATGTCACTCTCAGTGCAAATATTAACAATCTCCATGTGCTGTATGTCACTCTCAGTGCAAATATTAACAATCTCTATCTGCATTATGACACCCTCGGTGCAAATACTAACAATCTGCATGTGCAGTATGACACTCTCATTGCAAATGTTAACAATCTCAATGTGCATTATGACACTGTCAGTGCAAATATTAACTATCTCCATGCGGATTATGACACTCAGTGCAATATTAATAATCTCCATGTGCAGTATGGCACTCTTGGTGCAAATATTAACAATCTTCTTCTGCATTATGAGTGACTCTTTGAGTGCAAATATTAAGTAAAAGTAAGTAAGTAAACTTTTTGCTCCATTTATTAGTAAATAAACTTTCTTCCAGTTATTTATCGCAAACGAATGATGATATGTGCAATGTCGATCTATAAAACACAGAACTATGAAACACATTTTGGTTCTGACTATGTTTGTTCCTTGTGAGTGACTCTTTGAGTGCAAATATTAAGTAAAAGTAAGTAAGTAAACTTTTTGCTCCATTTATTAGTAAATAAACTTTCTTCCAGTTATTTATCGCAAACGAATGATGATATGTGCAATGTTGATCTATAAAACACAGAACTATGAAACACATTTTGGTTCTGACTATGTTTGTTCCTTAACTAACCCAGCGCTATATCCCAGGAACTGACAAACTACTGACTGATATCACGAGCAGTCATTCATGACGTTTGCGCTTATCAACCCCGTCACAGTTACAAATGCAAAATGTTTTCATATGTGGTACATATTCCCTTACTGATGCGTTTTGCTGACAGTTGATATCATCAAGACATTGGTGTTCTTGAAATCTTTGGCCGACATTTAGAAGTTGGAAGAATATGAACACAAGGCATGTTTTAGTGTAAAGTGTCTTGTATTCATAAAGTGTCAGGTGAATTAAATTTATACTTTCATGCAAACCATCGTTGACAGAACCAAGGAACAATTTTTCGATATGAAACAAAACAAACAAAACATATACAAGCTGGAAAATTATAATAACGTTACAAATAATATATTACAATGCATGTGTATTGTGTCAAACATCATTCTCTGGATACAGAATACCAGGGATCAGGGAAAATGGGGATACGCCAGGTGTAGATATTTGAATACGTGATGGTTGATTCAGTAAGAAAATATTTCGGACATTTCAGAAGAAAATTCATGAAAGAATGATTAGTCGTCTCAGGTCATAGGACTTATACTGGTTCTTGTGTGTGCACTATATGTTCCCCTGACACGTGTGTCCACGGAGGTTTAACAATAAACGAAAATTCCATATCTACAGTACTGTATATAAATACAAACAGATAACCTTCATCAAATAGTCCAGGGGCGATGGGTTAGCCTAGTGGTAAAGCGTTCGCACGTCACCACTCCAAAGAACCAGGTTCGATTCCCTACATGGGTACACTGAGTAAAGCCATTCCTACTGTCCCCCGCTATGATATTTCTGAAATATTGCTGGAAGCGGCGTAAACCTAACTCACTCACTCCTAGATAACCACCCTTTGTAAAGTTATCATTAATGACAATTAATTGAAAGCTGGGATTCTGATGAAGGGATTCAGCGAGCCGATACCTCGCACATCGCGCTCCATGGTCTATTACAGTGGTTATTATGCAGTGTCCAGTGGGTAGGTTTGTAGATTACACCACACTTCTCTGAGGTACTGTTCGATTCTGTTGGATCCCAGGGAAGGTACTGTGCTTCGGTGCCATCTTCCCATCGCCATGCACCAGATTTACGGGTTAAACCAACCCATATCCCGTCAGCCGCTGCAAAAACACAAATATGGTGACCAACATCAGTCATGGAAAACACCACATTTTATACGTTTCATAACACTATTGCTATCCATAATTCCCATCTAATTTCTATTGTAGTCGTTCCACGTTGTGTTTTTTATTGTCACTTTAGGTTACGCAAAATGAATTAGTTTTATAGGATTTATTGTTAAGTTTCAATCCTAATCAGCCTTACCAAATCAGACCTTTTCTCTTAACACTTTATGAAACGTCACGTCAGACGAATTATAATTAGACAATGAGCGTGGAGGCTCATAAGTTCTCTATACGAGATTAGGTAAGCGTTCAGACAAGTTTAGCTTGGTTATTATTCGCGCAAACGATTCACATAGCTCCAAATGCAAATAATTAAAGCCGCGACATCAAAAATGCCGAATTGAAGTAGTACAAATATGAAAATGATTGTTTAAAGATGATTGGTAATAGGGTCAACAAGCACGCAGTCATGATATAATCGGACTCGTACAATCGTCTTTAGGATACATTTTGAATGAATATTCAAATGTTCTGGGTTTTTTTTCCATTCGGATCTTCTTATTTTTAATGGCCACATATGAACTTGTTGTAAGAGTCTTTAGTGAAAGGCAACTTACATCTTCATCGCTTTGTGTGATTGGTTTGTGTTTAGTACACCAGCAGTATGCAGCGATTAATGTTTACAGTAGTTGAATATCATGATTTCAGTTGAACAATAGACTAGCCTTTGCAAGTGTTTATGATGCACGAGTGAGAGAAGATATCCGCGGGCACCTTGTATCACCCCTATTTAATAGTGATTCACGAACACATGGTCATGATATCGTCGGAATCTTACAAAAGCTATTAGTAGATATTTCTTATGAATACTGAAAGGGTTTTGTGATAGGCACAGGAAATTTTAATCCCTAATAATACCCAGTTCTTCATTTATTTAAACACAAATCATTTCGGTCAAGTGCAAGTACATGTAACATGTATTTTTATCACCTAATCTAAAACAGAAGACACAAAAGTTACATCAGAGCTGATTTGGTCAATGCATACAGGAGACATTTCCTTTAAAATTGGATCGAACTTAGAATCAAAACTGACATCAGTGTTTGCAATACTTTGATTTGCCAGTGGGCCATCAGGGCCTGCTGCCGCCTACAGGCTTTAAAATCTACAGGCCTTGAATGAAATCTGCAGGCCCAATCTGCCAGTCAAACCAATAAAAACCAAAAAGACTACACTGCACACAGTTTCACACTGTTTCTACAAAATCAATTAGCGAAGCCTATGGCGCAGAGAGATGTTTTGATTTGTTAAAGACTGGTGTTGACTTTCCTTTGCGCAAAGCGCTGAAATACCAGGGAGCGAAACTGTAGGTTATCGTAACATGATGGATGGATTGTGGATAATTCCCGAACGTTAATAAAGAAAATATGGGAAAGCTTAAAGTTGAAAGAAAACCCAGATAATTTACTGAAGGCCACAAGGGCCTGCAAATATTTGAAACTGCCGGCCCGATGCAATAACAACCGACGCTGGGCCTCCGGGCCGGCGATTATTTCGAACGCTGACTGACATAATACCTACACACTTTTTGACACGGTTGTGTCGATTTATCGGTTGCTCAGAATATTTTAGACAGGCCAAAAGTGCATACTGATACAAGCACTAATTTGTCCAGATAGTTTTACTTGGGCGCGGTGGGCGAGCTGGCTAAGGCGCCAGGCTAGTGATCCAGCGAGGTTGAGGTGTCGGGATGGAGCCCACCTGTGACCGGGTGTAAAAGCCTTGGAGTCAACTTTGTGTGCAGACTCTTTCAGTGTTGTCACAACCCCTAGTGTACAGTACACAACCCTGTGCACCTAAAGGAACCCACTAATCCGTTGGTATATGACCAGATGGTGGACATATGAGTACGTGCAAACACCTAGTTGCGGGTACAGCAACGTGCAGTGAACTTGGACAAAGTACTGTGACTATGTGTCCCAGTCCACCCAACTGGAATGGGTACCTCGTAAGGATAGGAAAGCCACAACAACTCGGTACGTCTGGTGGCTGCGGGAGTTGTATACTCCCCAGGGAGTTGAGATGTGCCGTTGGGACTGACATCCATTGATCGAGGGGAAAAATACTAGCGCCTTGAGCAAGCACTAGTTGCCTGGATATGTGCGCTATATAAATACCGTATAATGATAATAAAAATATGTTTACCTAAGATGCAGATGCATCACTGTATAGACAACATACGCATTCAGTTTTTGAGCAGAGCCGTATGATAGACGTGTGATAGATAGATAAAATCACTCTGTACTGAGACACAGAAACACAAAGTGGTAGAATACAGTAAACAATGGTTCTAACACACTAACTTTACTTCGATATAACCGTACTTCGATATAAGCATTTCAACTAAAACATACAAACAGTGGGACGGACGGAAATAGTTCGTTATAATCGTTATAGCCGTACTTCGATACAAGCATTTCAACTAAAACATACAAACAGTGGGAGGGACGGAGATAGTTCGTTATAATCGTTAAAGCCGTACATCGGTATAAGCATTTCAACTAAAAGATACAAAAAGTATTAGGGACCGAAATAGTTCGTTATAATCGTTATAGCCGTACATCGGTAAAACCATTTCAACTAAAACATACAAACAGTGGGAGGGACCGAAATAGTTCGTTATAATCGTTGTAGCCGTACATCGGTATAAGCATTTGAACTAAGCCACACAAAAAGTATTAGAGACTGAAATAGTTTGTTATACTCGTTATTGCCGTACTTCGGTATAAGCATTTCAACTAAAACATACAAAAAGTATTAGAGATCGAAATAGTTCGTTATACTCGTTATAGCCGTACATCGGTATAAGCATTTCAACTAAGCCATACAAAAAGTATTAGGGACCGAAATAGTTTGTTATAATCGTTATAGCCGTACATCGGTATAAGCATTTCAACTAAAACATATAAACAGTGGGAGGGAGGGAAGTAGTTTGTTATAATCGTTATAGCCGTATCTCGGTATAAACATTTCAACTAAACCATACAAACAGTGGAAGGGACGTAAATTGTTTGTTATAATCGTTATAGCCGTACATCGGTATAAGCATTTCAACTAAGCCATACAAAAAGTATTAGGGACCGAAATAGTTTGTTATAATCGTTATAGTCGAACATCGGTACAAGCATTTCAACTACAACATACAAACAGTGGGAGAGACCGAAATAGTTTGTTATAATCGTTATAGCCGTACATCGGTATAAGCATTTCAAATAAAACATACAAACAGTGGGAGGGACAGAAATAGTTCATTATAATCGTTAGAGCCGTACATCGGTATAAGCATTTCAACTAAAACATACAAACAGTGGGAGGGACCGAAATAGTTCGTTATAATCGTTATAGCCGTACATCGGTATAACCATTTCAACTAAAACATACAAACAGTGGGAGGGACCGAAATAGTTCGTTATAATCGTTATACCCGTACATCGGTATAAGCATTTCAACTAAACCACACAAAAAGTATTAGAGACTGAAATAGTTTGTTATACTCGTTATAGCCGTACTTCGGTATAAGCATTTCAACTAAAACATACAAAAAGTATTAGAGATCGAAACAGTTCGTTATACTCGTTATAGCCGTACATCGGTATGAGCTTTTCAACTAAAACATGCAAAAAGTATTAGAGATCGAAATAGTTCGGTAATATTCGTATTACCGTCAGTTCGTTGGTTTAAACATATTTTTATTCCTAGAGAATCTGGTTTGGTAAACAAGCAGAAATCTGCTTATATCAATACTTCACCAGTACATATATCATTTAAACAAAATGCACAAGAACTGGATACACAATAACTCGGTTCGTTATTAACGTAGTTTAAAGAAGCTAGAATACCGAAGTTGAAGTGGTGTATCAGCCAAAATTATACCATAAACTAGAAATATGCGTTGTACTTACTTGCGTTTTTCTGGGTAAGATATGCGACTATTTCATCATACTTTTCTTTAGTTTTGAATGTAATCATTCTGAATGTGTTGCTATTGAAAGTTTCGCTTCTGCAAACTGCCTTTGTTGAAATCCATTGACGAGTACCATTAAACATCCTCACACACACTGACTCCGATGTAAGATGAGCAGCACCAGGAGGACATGGTTCTAAAACAGACAAACGTTTTATATAATGCGAAATACATTTCACCATTAACACTGAAAACAATGGACCAAACAAAGACTCCGGTACTGGTAGCTGACCAAGCAGTGTTGGGCAGTGTGAAACAATGGTGCACAGGCGAGGTCTATGTCCTTGTGGTTGACACCAATCCTGTCAATGAATGAGCGAATGAGTTGGGTTTCACTCACTTTTAGCAATATTCCTGGAATATGACGGCGGGGGACACCAGAAATGGAATTCCACATTGCACCCATGTAGGGAATCGAACCCGTGCCTTTGGCGTGACGAGCGAAGCTTTAACGGGTACTTCCCTGAATGCCGGCAGGTTTTGTCTAAGGTAGGCAAAGCAATGAAGCGTGCTAATCCTTAGACAATGGGGGATTATGGGGGATATCTCCTAATCTTAGCTGAGCGAAATTCAGAAATTCATGAAGTGAGCGAGAGTTCAAATCGGACATTTTTTGTAGTCTTGTCTTGAGTGAACAAAGTTTACTATTTGATTGCAGGGTGATATAATGTATTAAACTTTAAACAACTCACTTAAAACAACTCCCTTCGGGGTATATATAAGATCATCATACATTAGATCACCATGTCACAATGGCTAATTTTCAAGTTAATGTGCGGTTTATTGCGAACAGACGAGGTGGTCGAAATTTAGTCAAATGTAGACGACAAAATAGCATCCATTGGATATGCTAAACACCAGGCTGTATAGTATGACCAGAAATTATTGAGAATTTTAGGAGTATGTTTAATTGGATTTCTAGCATAAACAACCTTGACCAGCTATCAAGTGCTTGGTTTCACTCAAGAGAGACTACTCCGTTAAGCCTTTTTCATTAGTTTGTGAAGAGCTATATCCCCCTATGTTTACTTGCTAGCAGATGACATTTTCAGTGATCCTCAGCATGGATGATTTAGAGAAGAGGAAGTTGATTTTATAACACGGACATCAGATCAGCTAAAGTGATCTCAAGTAGAACAGGCATCCCTTTGTCCACTGTTTATCGTGTTTTGAAAAATATTGCAAATGGATTGGCAGTGAGCACGAGGGAGGCGCAAGTAGGCCCAGAATATTGACTGTCGGTGACAGGAGGCGGCTTGGTATTCTTGTTTCTAAAAACGAAAAAAGGAGTTTAGAAAACTTAAGGCTGGATATGATTGATAGAGGAACTGTGGCTCTCTGTAAGGAGCCAAATTAGAACTGAGCTGCATGCAATGGGTTGGCAGAAATGTCGAGGAATTCCATCACCGATCATGAAACCTAAACAAAAGGTGCGAAGGTTGAACTGGTGCTTACAGCATAGAAATTTTAACTCGGACAATGTGATTTTCTCAGATGAAAGTTCTGTGTGGCTGTTTCCTAATACACTGAAATTCTGGACCAAACAAACTGAAAAACCTTTGTATCAGCACCCAAAGTACAGTCCGAAATTTAACGTGTGGGGTGGCATATCTGTGTTAGGGGCAACGCCCCTCTGTCTATTTGAAGGGAATATGAACAGTGAGCGGTACCCAAATATTCTCGAGGGACATTTACTTCGGACTGCTCACGTGTTCTATGGAAATTGTTGGATTTTCCAGCAGGACAACTACCCAAAACATCGTTCAAAGCATTCACAGGCCTGGTTTCGGACCCAAAATATGACATTATTAGATTGGCCAAGCTATAGCCCTGACCTAAATCCTATAGAAAATGTTTGGAGGAAGGAAAGTATCCATAAGAAAAATCTGACAAATATTGCTGAAATGAAAGAAGAGGTGGTCCGATATTCGGATAGCATGGACCACGACTTTCTAACTTCTTTGATCAGTAGTATGACCCCCGCATTGAATTCTGCATTGCTGTCAATGGTGACTTGACAAAATACTAACTGTTCACCTGTCTTCGAATCTGGAGTTATGTTCCACTAATATTCACATTTAATACGTGAGTAATGAGTGAAGAAAAAAAAAAAATTACAATCTTAAATTCTCAATAATTTCTGGTTGTACTGTACTTGAACCGTCAACCCCACAGATGACCTTGTGACTGAGCAAGGTCAGGCCGACAACCATCCTGCAGATGATACGAAGATCGCCGTAGATAGTTTTCTTTCTAATCTCAAGCAGATGGTTAGAGAAGACTCTCCATGTACCACCCCTTGTAAATTGTACATGGATATTTGATACGACCCCCATAGTTGAAACAACAAAGGATTAGTTCAGCAACCGTAACATGCCGGCATTCCGGGAGTAAACCGGTTTAACCACGTATGTGTGTGAGAGTGAGCGTTAAAGTGTGTGTTTATGTCGGAGTGTGTGTATGTTGTAAGGCAGTGGATTTCATTGTAAGAAGACGTTGAAATTACATTGTGTCTATTGAAATTCTGTAGTAGAGGTTAATATCGATGTGCTTAACAATAGTTATTTGTTAGGAAATGCATTACCCTCAGGTGTCAGTAGTTGTCGCTTTTACTGGATGCTTTTGGACTCGGGCATGACCTAGAATCTTCCAAGACAGTAGAGCCACGCATCGTATGAAATATTTTACGACTATATATATAAAAAAGCCATCATTTATATCTCTAGAACCAGCATTCAGTAAAGCCACATTAATCCCTTTGTCCATTCTGGTTGTTCCTGCTGTCATAACATAACCGTCCTTGATTACTATTAACATTTTACCGACCAATTAAACATCGCCTGAACGGAACGGGTAAGGGAGGTAACTTTTATCAAGAAACCAAAACCAATGCTCCTTTAAGTGGACGTGCGGAAATCGTTTTATCAAAAATGGTTTTAGAGCTTTCTTTTGCGCGCTAGTCAGTTTTTAATATTTCATTTCTTGCATCAGGGATGGGTAATTTGATATTGCGATAACGTAAATCCAGAATGTGTAATCTGATATCGCCAGAGCCTTAATCAAGGGCGGGTAATCTGTTATGGGAAGGGATGCAGGGTTGGTGTAGGATTACTGAAATACTAGCCCTGGGGACACAGAGAATGAAGCTGAATGGACAAATGTATCCCTCTAGCATCCGTCACCTCACATCAAACCCAGCGCTTGTATGAAAATCGATGTTTCCACCCTCGATATCCACCACAGGCCTACTTTGGAAACTTGTCATCTGTAATATGACTAACTTTTTTAATACTACCACTCCCATTGTATTTCATACTCCTATTGAACTTTGAACGTCCACCCTATTGTGTCCTGTCACCATAAAAACTTCGCAGTAATTCATATAGGTTTATAATAAAACGTCACAAATTAATTTTGAAAACCATTGTCCAAAAAACGTTCCAAGCTGTGGATAGTTGACGACAAAAGATTTTACACAATCATTTTTCATGGATATATATTTAGTATGAAACAATGGAGAAAGTTTTGAATTTAAACTATATCGCACATAGGCGAGCGGTCGTCCAAGGGCGAGAATACTCTTCATTTCTCAAAACCCATGTTTTGTTAACACAAGCTGCCTTTCAGAAAGTAGTCAATATGTAATATATGTTCTCGGCAAAGTAAAGATTCAAGTAATGGTGGTAGAAGTTGAAAAAAGGTGTTTTATCCAAGTTTGACCTTTCTGAGTGAATTTTGTTCTCTGAGAGTGATACATCAATGGATTTTAAGGTAAAGGATGATTGGTGATACATGTGGTCTCACCTTAGGCAGAAAATTGGGTGAGATAGGTCATGTGACTCATGTGACTACTGACCTTCTAGCGCTTCTAGGTTATCCGGGATAATAATAATCAGATTCTGATTACAGCGTCCAGTGAGCAACTAGTCAGATGATTTTAATACTAGGCGCTATATAAATGAATTATTATAATGTTTTACAAATTAAAGATAGTATGGAGCAGAGAGGGTTCGGGTGATCCTGGGAACAGTCAGGCTGGTAAGGCTCATCATCGGCTCAAGGCCCTTGCCCCCTCTACACGCAGCCCAGACAGCGAGTGGGACTTCTCCCCAGGAAACGCTGCCTAGTCGAACCCACCAAGAACTTTCCGGAGAATATGAAGGCTCCCCAACACTGCAGCCTTCTGCATTACCCAGAGTGTCAGAAGGGCTGTACTCCCGGTGGAGAACCCGGGCACTCTCCTGATCTGCGCCAAGAGATCAGGAGGTACCAAACCAAGGGCACCTAGAACAATGGGGAGCCTGGCGACAGTGTACTTGGGATGCAAGCGAGACATTTCAAAGGCGAGGTCCGCATATTTATCATGCTTTTCCCGACTCTTGACAATCACATTTTTGTCAAAAGGGACAGAAAATTCAATAACATAAATGAATTCATTGCCTTTATAAATAATGGACAAGATCAGGTTTGTTGGCAGGAATTCTTCTGAGGCTGTGTATGGGCCTATTCAAAGTTTAAAGCTGTCATTTTCCATGACGCCCTGGACATGTTCAGGGTCATACCATGGATGGACCTCGGTGTCAAAACCACAGGCATGGCGAAGACGGTAGTAGAAACGTCGTTTAAGATCTAGATATGCCGTTTGTGCCAAGGAAGGGCATCCACTGACAAGGTGTTGGACAGTCTCTGTAAATTCATTACACAGTCGGCATTTCATGTTAATATTTTCTTTAAGAATCACATTTTGGCGATTACGAGTGAGAGGTGACTGGTCCTGAGCAGTAAAAATGAAGCCCTCAGTTTCACATTTAAGACCAGCCGAGTCTGTGGGATTGCTATTCTGTTCCACACACTGCATGTATACACGATGCAATAGTTTTTCAAAAAGCTTCTCCACAAATGACCGACTCTGGGCACACTTGGTGAAGGACTTCACCTGGTTTACTCCCATCGCTGTACCGTCCAGCAGTTCATCGCCATCAACAAAATCAACCTCAAATTTCAGATTCTGTCCAACAACCTTGGCACGCTTAAAATAGCTGTGGAATTCCTTGCTTTCATCATGAGTCTTCACATGCATCACCATAGGAGCATCCGATAAATATATATGTGCAAAAGTACACACGAAGAGCCTCCACATTATGAAGAGCCTCCACATTAATTAAACCCCGACCTCCCGAATTGATTGGCATATATAAACGATTAAGAGAGGAACGAGGGTGGTGGGCTCTGTTATCAGACGTAATCCTTCTGGTCAGGCGATCAAGACTCTGGATGACTTGTTTAGTCCAATCAACAACTCCAAAGGAATAGGAAAGGACTGGCACAAGAAAAGTATTGGTGGCTTTGACCTTGTTTCGAGCATTTAGTCCTGAGCTCCAGATTTTCTTTAAGCGAGATTTATACTCGGCCCGCAGTTTTTCTTGAATCTGTGCATTCTGGATTATTATTATTATGTTTTCTCAAAAGTCAAACATCAAACATTTATAGTTGGCCAGGCCTATCTATTGCTGCGAGTTAAAATTGTAGTGAGGCAGGTTCTATATAGCCATTTCGGCAATGTTGCCAGAGACACTCGTAGTAGCGTTCAGGGAAATACTGACTAGGTATTTTCAAACTCTCTGAAGTCAGATCAGATCAATCACTCCGATACGAGATCGCTCTACGGATTTATTATTGGAGGGCACCTCTATATAAGGTCAGGTAAACACTGATCCCCAATCTTGAGCCAATCAATTGTCAGTTATGTTGTACACTCTCCGGTTTGTCTTGCTAGATTTGACTAGTGAGTGAGTGAGTTTAGTTTTACGCCGCACTCAGCAATATTCCAGCTATATGGCGGTGATCTGTAAATAATCGAGCCTAGACCAGACAATGCAGTGATCAACAGCATGAGCATCTATCTACGCAATTGGGATACTATGACATGTGTCAATTAAGTTGGCCTGACCACCCGATCCCGTTAGTCGCATCTTACAACAAGCATGGGCTATCAATTCTAACCCGGATCTTCAGGGGTCTGTCGTGATAGTGTTGGAATACTGTTTATTGGGGCGTACAAATACATGCTTAATACTTCAAATGAAGGAACCGTACCTGGTGTTGTTGTAGGAACAGCCGAAGTAGAGGTGTCAGTTGTAGGTGATGGTGTTGAAGTTGTTTCAGTTGTTGACGACGCTGACGAAGTGCCAAGCAATGTTGTCGGTGGGGATTCTGGCGTAACCGACTCGAGTCCTGTAGATCGGGATGTTGGAACTGCAGTCGTTGCTGTCGACGTTGGTGGGGTTTCTGGTGTAACTGCCTCAGGTCTTGTAGATCGGGATGTTGGAACTGCAGTAGTTGATGTCGATGTTCGTGGGGTTTCTGGTGTAACTGCCTCAAGTTTTGTAGATATGGATGTTGGAACTCTGGGAGCTGATGTCGATGGTGGTGAGGTTTCTGATGTTATCGCCTTGGGTGTCAAAGACACTGATGTAGTATCTGCAGCAGATGATGTCGTTGGCGCTGCTGATGGTGCAGCTGTTGTTCCGGGTGTGGACGAAGCGGGACGTAAAGTCGTAATATCCAGTGTAGCTACTGATGAGGCAAGGGATGTTGTCGTTGAATTTGCCATTGAAACAGTCATTGTTGTGGATGACACTGTTTCTTGTAAGGAATCTGGATTGGGGTAAAAGGTACAGAGATTAGATAAGTAGGTCTTTAATTTCTTCATGCTGTAATCACCCAATAATGTCAATGTGGTCTTTTTTTGTGTATTCTTTATGTAAAAAATATTTCTTGTATAACTGTGATTTTTTTTAAAAAGAACTCATTTTTGTATCCTTTTATAGAATGCTTCTGTTTGAAATTCAAACTCCATTCACTTTTAACAAATTTGAAAACTAAACAAAGTTTCCTGTTTTTCTTGAATTTCTTCAATTGCTGGAATATTGCTAAATGCGACGTAAAACCATATTTACTCATAACTGAATGGAGATATAATGCCCTTGTGAACCGATGATGATTTACCTGTGGAAATACAAAGGGATGTCCGGACCTCAGTTACCGGGATACATGTTTCATCATCGGCACATTCCCGGCAGATGCTTCGTGCTGCAGCAGCCTGATAAGGAGAACAGAAAGGTTTATTCATATCTAAAAATACGTAGCATAATACACAGGGTTATGCACATGAAACAGACCTAGCTTTGCGAGGGAAATCTGCGTCATGTGCATTTGAATAGTTAGTGTTAATTATGTTTTTTCTTCTTAACTTAACCGGATAATCCGGATTATATGCCTGAGTGATCAGCTCGTTAGGACTTATAGACTGGTACATACAAAATGAAATCATATATAAATATACTTATTTTATTTTATTTTGGAAGCAAATACAACTTAAGGCTGAAAGGAAGCAGAATCTGCATAGTCCATGAGGGTAATTTCGTCATTCTGTAGACGCCGTTTCAGAGCTAAAAGGGTCTCATCCAATCGGACATATTTCCTTGTCAAAAACTGATCTCCAATCTCTGTTGTCTGGAATTCTGGTGGTATGACAAGATCTTTTCTGCTTGTTGGAAGTTTTGGCTGAGCGGTCATCCTGTTCTGCGGAGTGTCATTGGATGGGACTCGAACGTTGGCATGGCAGACACTGCTGGATCTCCTCTCATCTTCTTGATCTCTTCATCGAATAGTGATGGCCTTGGCTCGAAGGATGACTTCGCAGTCACCTTCATGTTTGTACGAACCTCATTTGCCTTTAGAACACGGTCCAATGTAGGTGAGAGGTGTCATTTTGAACACGGTTCTATGCAGGTGAATACCTACTCATGTAGGTGATACCTGATTTATCAGTATTCACTAAGTTGATTAGTCAATCAAGAAATCTCATCTTTATGCCACTAAACAAACACCAATCAGTTGCAAGACCAGATCGGTGAACATCAAAGGGAAAAAGGTCTGCCTCATGTCCATAGTTTGAAACCTAAAGGTCTGCCTCATGTCCATAGTTTGAAACCTAAAGGTCTGCGTCATGTACACAATAACGATGACGGCGCCTCTTGGCAGTCTGTAATGATGTTTACAAGATAAATCAGTCCGTAATCTTGAGCAGCTGTGTATCCTAGTGGTCAAAGCGTTGGCTTGCTAATTACGATGAAAGTTTGGAACTGATTTCCCAACATGGGCACATTTGTGTTGAGCCAACTCCTGATTACCCGCGTCGTATTATCGATGGACTTGTGTTCTCCGGAACGCCACATGATCGTACTTATCAAAGATATTCTGGAACCTGACCATTCTGATAAACATTCTAAAGAAGTGTCATCTTTAAGGTAGAATACTAGTCAGTATTACAATGCCTTCACAAAACTATGTTCTTCTCAGATTATGAAAGTATTAATAATGAAGCCTCAAGGATTTCAAAATACCTTCGAAGCCTTTGGCACGGGTAATATTTACGTCAGTTTTGAAGTATATGATGATATAGGAACATCCTGACCCATGTTGAATAGTAAACATACTTTAAACATGTCATCATCAGAAATAAATAAGCACTGTATTTATGCCATTTGTAAGGCTTGGCAATAAAGTGAACTTAGAGATAAAGTCCACTTGGAAGTAAATTCCACGTAGAGATAATATCTACTTGGAAGTAAATTCCACTTAATAATAATATGGACATTTGTAGAGCGCAGTAGTAACTCCACACCTCAAGGGCATGCTCTTTGCGCAACAGTAAATATGTACACTATATACAGGAAGAAGTGTTATAAGATATGGTTGTCGTTGAACAAGAATGTTGTGAGTCTTGATATAAAGATGGAGATGGAAGGAGATGACTTGACATGGAGAGGTAGTGAGTTCCAGAGGGAAGCTGCGTGAACGCTGAAACATCTGCCGCCAAACGTTTGCAACTTGTATTTTGGGACACTGAGAAGACCTTTGTCTTGAGATCTGAGAGACCGCGCTGGGGTGTAGGGTGTTATAAGATCTTGCATGTAGGAGGGCGATGAACAGTTTAGTGATGAATATACAAGAGACAGCGTTTTGAATTTTATTTTTTCGCGGGTGGGAAGCCAATGGAGTGACTTTAGTATGGGAGATATGTGACATCTGGATTTGGCAATAAAGTGAACTTAGGGATAAAGTCCACTTTGGGTGAAGTCCCCTTGGAGAGAGAGACCAATTCGGATAAAGTCAACTTTAGAATAAAGACTTTCAGGTAAAGTCCACTTGGGGATAAAGTCAACTGGAGGATAAAGTCCACACGGAAAGAAATTCCACTTGTGAAGAAAGTCCACTTGGAGATAAATTTGATATATTCGGTCGCCTCTTACGATAAGCAGGTTGGCGGAGCTCTGTTTCAACTTGGGATCACCATGTGGCTTAAACCACGTCGGTATAGTGAAAACAAATCACGGTTTATATTCGAGTTAAGTGCGTTAGGTTTACGCCGCTATCAGCCATATTCCAGCAATATCACTTCGGGGTACACCAGAAATTGGCTTCACACATTGTACCCATATGAGGAATCGAACACGGGTCTTCGGCGTAACGAGCTAACACTTTAACCACTAGGCTACCCGACAGCCCCTTATAATCGGGATGAACATGGGACGTCCAATGACATACAGCAGATTCTGCCTTTCATTCACAAATGAGTCAACTATATTTACGTGGATGAAACTAAACTGACGGGCAAAAGAAAGTATAGATTCAAGGTTTTCAAGAAGTCATTATCATTGACCCAAAGTACCTAGACACACAAAATATAATGCAGTGGTGTTAGCAACTGCGCAAGTTCTCTGGGGGTCCTGAAAACCAGAAAACGTCGGACAAGTTCACGTGGTATGCGACTCCATTCGTCCTGGAGGGCTTGTGCTAGTTGCTGTCTGTTGTGGTGGGTTAGGGCATCCCACATGTGCTCGATCGGGGACATGTCTGGAGAACGTACTGGCCACTGTAGAACGTTCATGTTGTTCCTCTCCCGAAAATCGGCCACAATCCTGGCAATATGAGGGCGTGTACTGTCATGTTTGAAAACCACACGATTAGCTTGCTGTCTCAGAAAAGGGAGGACAACTAGACGCAGATCTTGGTCCCTATACGTCTCTGCATTCAAAGTCCCATCAATAATCACATGAGGCTTTCTTTCTTTTCCACAGATGGGTCCCCAAACCATGACACCCCTTCCACCGAAGGGTGTAACCTTTTGGACACGACAAGCAGCCAAACGTTCACCTCTACGACGGTCGCTGAACATTACGCCATCTTGACGCTGCCAACGACGAACAACTCGGGCCCAACGCAATCTGTGACGTCTGTGTTCAGAGGTCAACACCTGTCCTTTGAAGGGTCTGTAGGCTCTGATACCTGCTGCCCGAAGACGCCTAGCCACCGTATATCGACTGACACGGTGATCAAGGGAATTCGCCGCTGATGACGTTACTGTGAGGAAACGGTTTCTTAAATGTAACGTCCTCAAATGCCGGTCTTCAGCTGGTGTTGTTACTCGTGGTCTCCCACTTCTTGGTCCTGTACTTGGCCCGTCTGCCTGTAACGTTGCAGCAGTCTAGTGACGGCTACACGGGAGCAGCCGAAAGTTCTTGGTGAGCCGAGGTGAGCTTGGGTCGTCGAACTCCCGCTCTGTAGGCTTACATGGTGACTTATTTACATAACTTAGTCAAAATGGCCTAATGAAGACGACAGGACAGAAAGAAAAGAGACAGAAACGAAAGAAATTATTAGACAGTTCTGTCGAAGAAGATAGCTCTAAAAGACGCAGGGAATGTGAAGATAGTGACCTTTCACTAGAATACCCGAGAAGCATGGCGTTCTACTCAGGATTACCTGCCCAAACAGTCAACCCGAATATTGGACTGACCTACGGTCATCTCCCTCAGTCACCCCAGTATGTAACCCCCGTAACACAGATGTCCAGTCCCCAAAACAAGCAACCATGGTGGGTTGAAAATCTCTTCAAAAGACTGGACAAGATGGATACGAGGCTGAAGTCACTGGACAAGATCATGTCGCCAATCAGTCAGTTATGTAACCGGATTGACTCGCTAGAGACAGATGTAACCATTCTGCAGACGACAACAAAGACCATTGAAGAAGCGGCTGTTTTTCGAGACGGGGAGCAAGTAGTAGGGGGAATGATAAGAAAAACCTGTATAGGTACACCTTGCTCAGAAGCTTCCATATGGGCTAATTCTGCTACCAGCCTAGGTGAAAATGAGTGTTTGCCCAATCCCTTCGACAAGACCACTTTCGGCTGCTTCCAGTGCAGTGCACTCCCAGTTAGAGCTATGTGGGTGCATGGATATAGAAATATGCCAGGAACCAAGCTCTCGCGCGAAGCCTATACCGAGATCCGATCGGGTCGTTTGTCCCTTCGGGAAGCGAAGAGGAAGTACCACATATCGCAAGCTCGATACACGCGAATCCGAGGTGGTATAGACAAGCCCCAGACGGCGACAACTCCCCGACATATCCGAAGACTTCGAGGCCCTGCTGCAGAAGTGTCGCCCCATGTTGCTTTCCGACCGAGAGAAACAAATCCTGGAGCAATCGGGACACACCTTCTACTAACGCTACCAGATCCCCAAACAGTTTCTCGAACTCTATTTGCTGTGCTTTAAGCCCACTAGTAGAAGCCGGCAAAATAG